AGAAAAAAAAATTCACTGAAAGAGTGTTTAGGCTTTGGAATAAGTTGCCCAGGGAAGTGGTGGAGTGACCATCTCTGTAAGTGTTCAAGAGGTATCTGGATGTGGTACTTGGGGATGTGGTTTAGGAATGATTGTGGTGGTGCTTACTTGACTGTTGGTGATCTTGAGGGTGTCTTCCAACCTTGATGATTCTGTGACTAAAAGAAGAGATGGTGGATCAAAGGAAGATACTTGTTCCAAGACTACTAGTCTTGGAAATTAAAAATTGAATTTAGAGTTTTTTGAAATTCAATGGAATCTAATGAGTCAACAACTTGTTCCGAGACTTTAAGACATTTATCTTAGAAATTCACTTTCTTATCATTTGAGCTATTAAGATTTATGGTAATAGCAGATCTGATGGTAAGAATACAGGTGAAGTCACTTATTCCCTTTCTAAACCTTTTGTATAATTCAAGTTTGTTTGCTGAAAAGGGTCTCCTGTCATGCTGCATAGATTCTTTTGCTTTCCTGGGAATCATAGCCTACGACAATTTCCATGATCCTAACTAATACAATCTTGAAGTCTGTCAAGCTTGCTTCAGTTGCTACTCACATTAAAAGGCTTCCTAGAATTCCGGTCATTAAGTGCCTAGAAACTTTCCTCAGACCTTTAACTCATACTAATTAATTGTGTTTCTATTCACATTTTTTTCTTCTTACAATATTCTTCTTACTGTTCTGCAACTCAAACACTTCTTTTCCCTACATGGTTCTTCACCAAAATTTGAATTTACAGACAATGATTCTACTGCCTCTCAATCTGCTTTGCTGTCATTTTTAAAGCCACATTCCCAACAGCCCTGGCCATTCTAAGAGACTTTATAGAGTTTCCTACGTGAATTCACCTTTTGAATACAACTGGTCAAAATTACTCTCACATTGGCTCATATCCCAATATTAATGTTTCCTTCCCTGACCATATGTCATATGCTTTCTGGAGTTACATTTGCACCTGTGTTTTTCATAGCCAGATTACATAGGGCTCATAGGCATCTTGCTGTTGACTAAACACTTGTATATTTATCTTGATGATCCCAGCACTTACAGAAGAAATTCTTACGCTTTGATTCTTAGTACATGTCCGCAGTATGGAGCATTAGATGCATTCTCATTTCTATTACTTAGACTAAATAATTCAAATTTTCCAGGATAGGAATCATTCCTACTTTTTAATCCTCCAAATCCAATGTCCTATGAAACATCATTAGTACACAACTACGTTTTGTACCAGCATCATGAAAGAAAATATTAAAGCTCACTTCTAAACTCCATCAGCTTCCTGTGCAGGTAAAGCAGAAGGATAGGCTCCTTTTGCAGGCAGTTCACAGCAGAAACTTATCTCAGTCATTCTGACCCTCTCCTCAGGGAAGCCTTCCTTTGACTATAAAGGGAGCATAATCAAAATAGTTAAAGTTAGCTTTTTGGAATACCTCTGTTCCTATGCCAAAATGATGGCTGATGTTATTTTTCTACTACTAGGTCTACTAGTAATTTAGGATGTGTGAACTTAGGCGTGGAACTTGGGGCACATAGAGAGTTCTGGTTTCTATGACATTACTATGGGATTGTCAGCACAAACTGAGGATATGTTTTTGAACCAATACATTTTGCAATGCCTGGAACTACATTTTTCTGACATTTTTCTGTCTGAAATCTTTCTCAGCCAGACAATCATGTTTTGTGGACATCTGTATAGCTATGCATTGTCACATCCTTTTGAAAACTCCATAATTTATTCAGAAAAACAAATAATTTGTTCAAGACACAGGTCATAAATACAATCATAAATCACAATGCATGGCTCAATAAATGCATTAAAAGCTTTATTGCAAGATCAAGAACTCTATTTCCATGTAGTTAGGACAAAGTTTTTCAAGTGCTACCAAAAAAAAAAAAAAGAAAAAAAAAAAGAGTTATAACTGAAATCAGCAAAAAGTGGTATGGTATGGATTTTTTTCAGGCAGCAGCATACATTTGTGAAATACATTTTCTCAGGGGTTTCCTACTACACAAAAGATTAAACCAATCTCAGGTATTTAGTGTTCATGGCCTAAAAGCAAGAAGGGATTAAAATCTTGATTGTAATTTAGAAGAGGGTAAACCTCATTTATTCTGAAATAAGTATTACATTTCTTTATTACAGTTTATTTAAACTCTTAACACAGAAAACTTTCAAGTCACAATACTTAACAGCTGTTGCATACATTAGCACACTCAACACAGTATTTCCATAGCCTGTTTCAAGTCCGTATTCTTTCACTATGTGTCTAAATCTTTTCTCATGGCATGGACAGAATTGAGACACTGTTATTTTATTCACTAAGCAATCAAGTTTAAACCTACAAGTTAAAAAAATAAAACCTACAAGTGAAAAATATCAGAAAACTGCATTATTATTATTATTATCATTCTCATGTTACATATGTTGCTATTGTTAAACAAAATATGTTTGAGGTAATAACAAGAATATGTGCATAGCACATGAGTTGTGGTCCTGACTTTCATTTCCTAGGCCACATGAAACTATTACTTCTTCAGGGAATAAACATTTTCACTCTGTAAAGGACTTATGGTGTAGTAAGTAATATAGACCCAGGCCTATTGTAACACATTGCACAAAGGTCAGGTATAAATTTGCTTAAAGAATAACAACTTGGAGACAAATCCCAGTACCACCTGATGCGAGACAAGTAGTTAAGTTTATTAGAAGTGATTTAGTCAAGTTTTAATGGGCTTCATTAGCCAAGGCAATTTAAAGTGCACCTCCACACAAAGTGAATGTACAATGAACATCTTTGAATTAGCTTTGTTCAACATGTGGCCTCTTCCACATGTATTAACAAGAGAAAATTTAAAGTAAGCATTTCGTTACTAGAGAAAAATATAGGAGGAGGCAGTGCAAGCCAAATGAGAAGTAGGGCAAGGAAAATCAATTTCTCATCAACTGTGGGGTGAATAGCTTTAAACTAAGTCACATAGATTCTAATCAGTACCAACAGAAAAATGCTTCCTCTGTACTACACTGCAAAGATATAGCACCAAATTCATGGTACAGGAGACTTCAAATTTTGTTGGAAATTCTGTGAAATAAGAAGAAAATACCATGCAATTTATAGGTCCCTAGAAAGCAGACAGAAGGGGCCTTTGGCATGACACTTGTGATTAAGTGTATTCAGCTTCAAGATAGCTAATACCCTGAGCAAGTACAGCAACAGCGAAAACTAAGAATTATTTTAGATTCTTTGCATAGAAGCCAAAAAACTAATTGTGACATGTTAGCTCAAAACAAGAAAGGATTTCATTACATTGCAGACAGCCTGAGCAAAGAGAATATGTGACACAAAAGGAACTGTGATGAGATTACAAAATGTATCAGAACTGCTTTGATTAATCTTGTCTGGGGAGTTTTAAGAAATAGACACTACACAAGACTTAAATTAGAGGAATGACAAGCATATAATTCCAAACTTCTGCTTCTTCTGCTGCTTTGAACAGCATATCTCCACTTCATCCAATGGTTTTACAGCTGAAGGATTTTCACATGCTTAAATTATACTTCCTTGGACACCATGATGTGTGTTGTGTCTCCAGAAAACTGTGCTGCTCAAAAAGCTAACTCTAACACTGTCCTTTTTTTAGTTACACCTCCTTCTGTTAGGAGCTTTGAAGCAGGTTTAGGTCTTGAGGAGATATGGTGTTTACTCAAAGATCTCTTCGCAGTGGTTTTCATTTCTTCTCTACCCGAGATGCTGTGATACCGCTTTCCCTCTACTCACCTTTGGGAAGATTTTCTCAAGAATCTGGTCATTTCAAGCATAATTCACTCTTGGTGCTGCTTCTCTTGTTGTAGTATCCACATCTCCGTGGTATTTGGGGCGTTGGGAATAGATTTCAGGCATTTGGTACCAGGGTAGCAATTATGACCTGTGTGGGAGGAAGCCTTGAGCTGCCCTGTGCCAGTCACAGGAATTTCCACTCAGCTCTACATCAGTGTGTCACAGCTGAGAAGTATTGAGTCAAGGTACAGAAAAAAAATCCCATATCCTGGTCTCCACATAGAGGAAGTCCAAATGTGTAGCCCAGTTGCCAACTGAGTGACACTCCAAAGCAGCCCCAGTCTGCATAATCACACAGTAGCAAGTAACTGAGGATGAAATTTCAAATATGAATAAGCCCAAAAGAGTTGATCAAGAATCACTTTCTATTTGACTTACCAGCATGCATAAATCCTAATGAAAGCATTAGTTTCAGTGCAGAATGTGAGTTTGCAGGTGTTTGAAAATCAACAGGCCTCAGGTTTGAACAAATGCTGTGAGTGCTGGAGTATCAGCTCAGTGTTACTATGACCCAGAGTAAAACACTAGCACAAAAGGAAGAAACCTCAGCAAGAAACATCATTGTTTTGTTTTCACTGAAAACAAATGTACTTTTTTATCTCATGTTAGCCATAACAAACAGTAAAAATCCTAGATGAAATCAATTTTCCCAACATTAGGAAGCATCAGGTAAGCATAGTCTCTCTTCCCCCACCTCCATTTCAGTCTTTAGCTCAGTTTTCTCCCATCATCATTAGGACATTAACATACAATAACGAGCACATTTTTATGCACAGATGGGAAAAGCATGCCTTGTCACTTAGTGAAAACATCAGATTAGCTCTAGGCTTTACACAGTCACAGAACTTGGTGAAAAGCAGAAGTGGGAAGTCATTAGTGTAATGGGCTATACAGGGTACCCTGATCTCCTCTGCATGAAATAATACATAAACTGCTGCTGGCACAAGCAGAAAGCAAGAGCAGGTAACATAAGTTTCCTCTTAGCATGAATTAAGTGATGTGAAAAAGCACTGTGCTCAATAAAGATCTAAATATCTGACTTCAGCTCGGAAATGGAATAAGAGTTGTTTTCTTCCATTGATTTCCAGTACATAAAACTTTATTTCTTTTTGTTTTAATTAGCACACAGAAGCCAACACCTTCAGATTTCCAGAGAAATGAGTATGCTGAGGCCCAGCTTCAAGAGATTTTAAAAAAATTACGGGAAAGGGCAACTGTCTATAAGGAAAAACTGAATGACCCAGTGCTGTCTTCACCTGAAGGCAGTCCTACAGCTTGTAAGTGACTCTCAAAATAGCTGTGAATTTGTTGAGCTTAAACCTGAACATTATTTTGTGGGAACAGAAAATACTGTGATAATTTTTTTGTAAGTATAGTGTATTTATCCACTAGAAGGATCAGTTTGTGCCCACTGAATTCAACTTATCCATAGTTCTCTACAATAAGCCAGGTCCCTAGGTACAAGCTCCCTTTGAACTCCATCACTGAAGAATTTGGGAAAAAAACCTTATAGAGGTAGTATCTAGAAACTTCCCTGTCAAGAAGCTCTCTGTATTTTAAAATAGCTCCCAAATATGTTTATTCATGGAGATGAATCAGAGACACATGAAGAAACATACGTATATTATGAGTGGATATTAGTCACTCTGATATGAGATCTGCTGTGTAAATAAAGTAAATAAAAATCTTAGCCTTGACAACAATCTTCTGGGCACACCGAGGACTTAGTCTAGGCTACAAATAGATCAAACTCAACTGATGTTAATTAATCCTTGATTTTTTACAAAATATGAAATATAAAACAAATCCGTATTTTTCCTCTTCAGAGGAAAGTCTGATTTTTTTTTGCCTTTTCACAAAGAATTCAATGTGGTGGTTTTATGTTCTGAAACTTTTTAGAATCTGTTTATATCTTATGTGCTTTTTAAAAAACTGTAAAAAGTGGTTCCTGAAGAACTGTAAACTATACCCTCTGATAAAGGAATCCTGTTTTCTTTAATTATTTCTTTGCTCATTTACCTCTTTTATTCTCTTTATAGAACTTAAAACCATTTATTTCCTAAATTATTACAGATCTAGTTTGCCAGTTTACTTTTAAGAATGTGTATCCTAACCAGAGTTAACAGCACACATGTGTGAACAACAATAACCAGCCCAAAGATGAAAGAACTGGGCTCAAAGGAGTGCCACAAAACTTTTATAAGCCTAGAAATATACAAAATCATAGGCTTCCCACTGGTTTCACCTGCTGCATCTTGTATATCAGGTCTCAGGAGAGGGGAGAGATCAGCCCATGGCACAGGTGTCTTTGCCTATCTCCATTCTCACTGCATTCATTCTTTGGAACAGTCACGTAAAAAGAAATGTCCAGTTGCATTAATGAATGCTGAATTATGAATTAGCCCTTTCTTGTCAGTCTTATAAAAGGTATAACTTGTGGGCACTGTTCAGGGAAATTATTATACTCTGTAACGTAAGTGCCCTGTTCATGATAGCTGATGCACATGTTTAAGCCAGTACTGATTTTATTCTCCAATTCTTTTTCTAATGCATTTAGTATAATAAAATGTCATTCTAGTCACTGCCCAGTGTTTTTAGAAGAGATTTTAACATGGTTAAGTTCTTGTTCATGTCAAAACAGGGTGTGGTTATTGAGTCATTATTAAAATACCACCCTTTGTGGCATCTTATGTGTCTAGCACCAAAGAAACCACCCCCACCAAAAGAAGAAAAAAAAGAAGAAAAAAAAGAAGAAAAAAAAGAGGAGGCAGAAGCAAAGCCAGAGGAGGATCATTACTGCGATATGCTGTGCTGTAAATTCAAGAAACCTCCACTGAAAAAATACATGGAGAAACTGCAGCTACCAGACACCATAGACTCATACACAGGTAAATTAAAATCTATGCAGTAGAATGGGGTAAAGACATATTGAAGTGACTTGGTGTTACATAGCACCTATGAGACACCATAAGATACACATTCCAGTTTGCAACTCAGAGGGATGCAAAGGTCCTGCCCTAAACATCTTTCCAAACAGGAAAAAGACGTGAAAAGTGACATCAAGTTGGGGGGAAGTGTCGATCATCTGGAAAGCAGGAGGGCTCTGTAGAGGGACCTGGACAGACTGGAGAGATGATCTGATTCCAGCGGGATGAGGTTCAACAAGGCCAAGTGCCGGGTCCTGCACTTTGGCCACAACAACCCCCTGCAGTGCTACAGGCTGGGGACAGAGTGGCTGGAGAGCAGCCAGGTGGAAAGGGACCTGGGGGTGCTGATTGACAGAAAGCTGAACATGAGCCAGCAGTGTGCCCAGGTGGCCAAGAAGGCCAATGGTATCTTGGCCTGGATCAGGAATGCTGTGGCCAGCAGGAGCAGGGAAGTGATCCTTGCCCTGTACTCAGCACTGGTGAGGCCACACCTTGAGTATTGTGTTCAGTTCTGGGCCCCTCAGTTCAGGAAGGATATTGAGGTGCTGGAGCAGGTCCAGAGAAGAGCAACCAGGCTGGTGAAGGGACTGGAACACAAGTCCTATGAGGAGAGGCTGAGGGAGCTGGAGAAGAGCCTGGAGAAGAGGAGGCTCAGGGGAGACCTCATCACTCTCTACAACTACCTGAGAGGAGATTGTAGCCAGGTGGAGGTTGGTCTCTTTTCCCAGGCAGCTATCAGTAAGACAAGCTCTGCCAGAGGAGGTTTAGGTTGAATGTTAGGAAGAAATTCTCTACAGAGAAGGTAATCAGGTATTGGAATGGGTTGCCCAGGGAGGTGGTGGATTCTCCATCGCTGGAGGTATTTAAGAGGTTGGATGTGGCACTGAGTGCCATGGTCTAGTAACTGTGGTGGTAGTGGATCAATGGTTGGACTTGATGATCTCAGAGGTCCTTTCCAACCCATCTAATTCTTTGATTCTATTCTATGATCAGTTGTAAAGATGGTACGCACAAAATGGCATGCAAACCAATCACAGTCATAACCCAAGTTTCTTGATCTAGAATTTGTACCATTTATTAGGGTCAACTAATTCTTTTGTCAGTTATAACACACGTGAACAGCATGCAAAATGATAGTACTGAGTTTCTTCAGATGAATAAATTTCTGTATGCTCTCATTATCTCATCTTTTTTCCCATTTGCAAATTCCTTGTGTGACTCCTAGTTTCATCTATATCACTTTAGCAGTATGTACCCTTGAAAAAGGGAGAATGCTAGATTGCTCTGGGCAGAATCATTCCCAGAGACTGCAGTAGAATAAATGTGTCTAAAAGAATGACAATAGACTCTAAGTTCATGCCTGTAAATTCAATGTGTTTTTTTTCAGATCGCCGTTACGTAGGATGGCTCATGCTTGTGACAATCGCCTATAATTGGAATTGCTGGTTTATTCCCCTTCGCTATGTGTTCCCATATCAAACCCCAAGTAACATAATATATTGGTTTGCCATTGATGTCATTTGTGATATCTGCTACCTCTGTGATTTACTGATTTTCCAGCCCCGAGTGCGATTTATAAAAGGGGGAGATATAATAGTAAGTGCTAGAAGTGGAATTTCCATAGGTAGTAGATGTGTGTTAAAGTAGAATATAGAAATTCCTCCAATCTGATGCTTTTTCTTCTCATTATGTCAAATCTGTGTAAATTTTTTGTTTACATATATTCTTCTTCATTGACCCATATATTCTTCTTCATTGACCTCCCATTCTTCACTGATTTTCTATTCTCCACTGACCTTCCGTTCTCCTGTGGGGGAAGAAACGTAACCATTGCCTACATTCTTAAAAATAGAAAAAACAGATTTGAAAATAACAGAAGAGAGCAGTTGAGACAAGCATATAGCTCTCAAAAGGAGTAAATTGGTGAAGTTTTACTTGAAGCAGTGATTATATCACATGTACTCATGCATATATACATGTTTGTATGTTTGTGTGAAACTTTCACCTTTCTATTCCCCTTATACCAGAATCATAGTGCATATTCTGCTAGGGTTGGACAGGATAGCATGTTATGTAAAAGACTGTGAGATCGTGGGTTTATTTTTTTCTAAAATCAGATCAAATCACTGTAATTTTTAGGATAGTTTGAAAATAATTTATTTGATATATTATCTTTTGGGAAAATATGTACATTCAATTTTAATTCTTGCTACTCTTTTTGGTTTATCTTTTCTTAGAAAAATGCAAAATGAAATTTTATACAAGTATCTGAAAAAGGTTGAAAGTTTGCCCTTAACATATAAAAAGGACATCTAGAATATTAACTTTTCTTTAAAATCTTCCCTGCTTTTGATTCTTTAACCTCTTAGAGGAAAAAAACAATTTCAGAAAAAAAAAAATTAGTTTTGATAACTTCAGTGTGACATTACTGTGCCCAACAGACAGAAAATTCAAAACTACATATCCTCAAATGTAATTTGGAACTAGCCTTTACAGTGCTTTTACATAAAATTTTATACATTGTACATACACAATATTAGAGATACCTTTACAGATAAAGCTGTGCAAATATCCTTTGAATAGATATTAAATGCAGTGCAGTGTAATGTACTTTCCAGGCCAAGACATTCAGCAATTGGTAATCTTGCCTAAATCCCACAAAACTCAACTTTTATGAGCAAAGTTAAAACTCTAACATGGAAGGCTTACATTGTGTTTCCCTTGAAGCTGTTTCTACAATTCATAGATTTTAGTGCACAAAGACATCATCTACTGCCTGATCTCCTGTGTTTAGTTTAACGCTTAAACTGATAATACTGAAAGTTGGCATGAAAATATGCTTAAGATTTTAAAGTTCTTTTAAAAGTGTCTCTGATACAAATACAAAAAGTATAAAAATAGATACTTGTGATTACCCTTTCTTATTAAGGTATTAGCCTGAGTTCCCATGAAGAACAGTTTAAAAATAAAAAGCTAATCATTGCTAATGAATGCAATGATGATTATTATAATGCTAATAATGTTATCATGTTAATGCTAGCTTTTCAGGAGCTAATTTTGTACAACACCATCAGAAACATTCTTTGCATTTTTCTTGGAATCACTGCAGATTAATGCAGTTTTTCACCCTGAAATTGGAGGGGTTTGGGTCAAGCACCAAGTGGTACAGATGTCTTGAGAGCGAAGTTTTTTGTAAGGAAAATGTAAGGAATAGATTGGAAAAAAATCAGTCAAATCCGAAGCCTCATTTTTTCAAATAGTTCTAATAAAATCAGATCTATTGTAAACTGGACTAATAAAAGTACTACTTTTCCCACCATTCATACTTTTAGACTATCATTAATTTAACTGTCATCATCCCTACTATCAGCAGATAATTATTATTGTCAAGTAGCAGAGGTTCATTCTTGACATTCTGTTCTTGACTTTGCCTTTTTCTCCATTCATTATCACTGTAGACAGACAAAGTGGAAACAAAGAAATTCTACCGCAGCTCGGTAAAGTTTCAGGTAAGTAAATCCTGTGTAACTGATATCAGTATGAAGTTCTTTGTGCTCCTTCAGATTGCTTTAGGCAGCCTGGTTTTAGAAGCTGAAGGACTTTTAAGGCATGTTTGTGGAGTGATGTCCCCATCTCCGCTCACCAGCCATATGCCTAACACTTTAGTTTTATCAGAACTACAATTGAAATAACAGTATGTATTAATAATCAAATATATGAGATACTATTAATAATCCCCATGAAACAGATCACAATCTCTGGCACAGAGAATTTAAAAGCAGGGCAGAGCTCTTGGTGCTTTCAAAGAGATGATCTTGCCTGTCAGTTCTTTGAGAAGCTACATGTTTAGCATGCTGACTTTTCAAATATTATTGAAGTCATGATTCAATCTAAGTAAGTTTTTGACAGCAAATAAATGCATGATGATTACTATGAAGTTTAAATTGACCTCTCTGCTCTTCAACAGCTTGATGTGATATCAGTATTGCCATCTGACATTTTATACTTCTTCTTTGGATTTAATCCAGCACTTAGAGTAAACAGGATGCTAAAGGTAAGGTCTGTGTTAATGATGGATGGCTAACCATGCATAAATGTTTTGCAACTCAACAGAAAGTCTTTTATAATATTTAGGAATATGAAATTTATAAATTGTAAAATATCTTCAGGCTAAGATACAACATCAGTAAATAAACTAACAAAAAATATAAACTATAGTCTAGCCAAATTAAGCGTTTATTCTCTTACTTTTCTTCCAGCTTTTAATTCCTACTTTCAAAAGGTATTTTGTGATTAAAGCTGGTTTTTTCCATAATTTAAATGAGATTAATCTCAAATTACCTGTTTAGTTTTCAAAGATTTAAAAAAACCCCTAATTAATGACAGTGATTTTTCTCTCTTCTGTTGCTTATGACTCATGTTTAAAAACAAAGGAAGGAATTCTAAGGACAATATAAACTATGCACAGAATATTTATCAAGCATAAACCCACTTTTTTTATTGAGTCCAAAGACACCTGGAATTGTGTCTACAAAGGGATTAGAACATGGTACATAGCAGGCTTCTCTGCAACTAAATACATTCCCCTTCATACAATCAATATGTTGACGAAGAATCGTCTTCCATTTAACATTGTGGGGGAGACACAAGAACTCTGAGAATAAACTGAGGGTGTTCTTCACTTCAATATTCAACAAAATTTCAACATTCCATAAATCAGAACCAAAATAATATGACAGAACGAAAAGTTAGATAGGACCTCATGTTAGGTAAACAGATGTGTACTGAACAAAAACAAAGAAAAAGGTTATATACAAATATTAAAAGCTACCACTAAAGGTCAATGACAAATACTTAACAGGAAGAATTTGATACAGCTGCAGTTGATACCACATAGAATCATCTAGTATGTGGCTGTTGATACATATGGTCACTTACTGCAGAATTACTGGAATTTCAGAAAGAGAAAAAAGGAGGGTTAGTGCATATAATTCTCTGTGATCAAGTTGTCCAAGTAATTATATACACTTGAGGAAATAGAAGTCATTTTATCTGCAGCAGTCTGACCAAATCAGCAAGGTTACTTCTGTAGTCAGATTAATGAGACAATTAACACTCAAAAAACCACATTAAACCCAATTTTTATCTTTGCTTTTCAGTTCACAATTTAGTTAAATGTTTGTCATGGTTTAGGAATGGTATTCTTCAATTTAGTACTCCCACTAAAAACCATGTGCTGCTCCCCCCCTCTCCAACTGAGACACAAAATGCAAAGATCACTTGTTGAGATAAAAACAGTTTAATGGAAACAACAATGAGATAAGAAAATGAACAGTAACAGCCACAATATTAATAACAAAATATATGAGAGAGAAATTATTCACATGGTAAAACTCCTCAATAATAGATAATACCACACAGCTCCCCCTACCACGTTTTCTCAACCAAAAAGAGCTGCTTCTACCTGGAACAGAGTCCATTTTCCCCACCCCCAGCAATGAACTGAAGTGGTACAGAATAACCTCTGGTTCCTAGCCATGCCCTCTCCTGGCTACTGAAAAATTAACCCCTGTCCTGTCTGTAACCAGGACAATGTCTAAAGAAAGTTTGATTATTGAAAAATCCATTTTCAAAATGTGTATGTGAACCAATGTCAGTACTATTATAAAAAGATGCATACTAAAGAATAGTGATTGGATTGTTTTCATTTTTTTCCCACTCAGCATAACACATTCTTTGAGTTTAATGATCGTTTGGAAGCTATTATGGAAAAAGCATACATCTACAGGTATGTGCTGATAAAACTTGAGTAGCATTCAGAGCTGGGCACAGAATCCATTTCATATGATCCAAATCATATGATTTTATGAGTTGTCAGTTAAGCGCTGGATGGAATATGATATGTCTTTAACTGTTCAGTTTAAGTTTTTTAAAATATGTCTTTACTGTAACCTTTAAAATCATATATGTAAGGCTTCACTCACATGTGAAATCTAGCTCAGTTCAGTTGGCCTGGTTCAGGCAAAACATTTACCAAACTGAGGCTCCTGCCAAAATTTAATTGATCAAAAGTATCAGAAAGAAGTTTCTTTAGTGAAAGAGCTAAAGAACAGTTTCTTTAGGTTGCTAGTAGCAGTTCCAAATCCTCAGTAGCTGTTTATTTGTACTTAATCAGAGTTATGACCTTGAGCCTGTGTCAACATTTTCCTTCAAACATGCTCTCCCTATGAACCTGGCATACACAGAAACTTGATCCTTCGCTGCGTTGACTACACTGGGAATGAGGACCAACTCAGCACAATTCTCAAACAGTGATTATAAATGTTGTCTGCTGAATTGTGTTCTCACTTTCTGCATTGACAGGAAGAATTTTGGATGCAAATTTATGGCAAGTTTCATAGGTCCCTCAGCTGTCAGTGATGCTGCTAAGACCCAGTGAACCCATCTACTCTGTCACCATTATTGTCATCTACAGTCAATGCCATCAGCCCTAGTTTATCTTGTGCAATTCCTATGCCAACAGATTCTTTTCCCTGTCCCAGTTTTGGGGCATGTATTGTTCCTGTGTGTTGCTGCTGCAGAAACAAGAATATGTTGTTTACCATCTTACTCTATTTCAGAGATTTTTGTGCTAAAATGGTACAGTTGATATTTATAAATTTAAATAAGATGTTTTATGAAATTTTAAAACTAGTTATATGTGAAAAGGAGGTTGAAACGTCATGTCTTTCTTATTTTCATGTACCTGTAAAATAAAAGAGAAGTTTGAAAGTTCTATGAAAGTATTTTTGAGATGCTGACCTCCATAAAGCTTATTATTGTATAATAATATGTATAACATTATATAATAATATATATAATAATATTATATAATTCCCTCTCTTTTCAGTTATCAAAGGCTCTTTTGTGGTTTGATTGGGTTTCTTTTATTATCTTTTTTTTTAATTCTTGTTGGTTCAAGAGAGAGTTTTTCTGAATTTCCACAGATGTCACTTTCTGAATCACTGCATCCCTATCTTCTCCATTTTCTAATTTAATTAAAAGAATGGGCTTTCTTCTGCTTATGTCTTTTAACTTTTTCTAATGTTTATAAGTTTTAAAGGTAATTGGTTTTAAATTAATTAGTTTCTATATTTTGTCTTTTGCATTTTGGAGTAATAACTCAATGACTTTCCTGTATCTCCTATAATGTTTGCAGTGAGTACTGGAAGATAAAAGTTTTTATATACAGATCGTTCTGGGTAAAGTAACTAGTTTGTATATAACAATAGTGTTGTGTCTACATGGATTTCAAAGAAATGGCAACAAACTTGCAAACTCATTTTCACTAAAATAAACAGCTTTGCAAGGGACAGAGTTTCACATTATATAAAAGCATGGAATGGGAAATGATTATTCAGAGGACAAGTTGAGAAAGGGATGTGAGCAAGATCTCACTGGTCCTGTGAAATGTATACAATAGATGGAAGGACAGAGCCAGGTACTCTGCAAAGCTCTTTGCCTTATTAGACATTTCTTTAACATGATTTTTGGGTTGAGTTCCACAACTGTGTGTTGCTTCTGGTGTCTTTGTTTCCTGGTCACAGGCCCATTTAGATTTTCCAGTATTAAATCACTTGCAGAATGTAAATTTCAGAATCTAAATATTACAAAGTGAATCTATTTTCTACCTCATACTCCAGAAAACACCAACTCCTGGTTTTGCTCACTGGCAAATGGAGAACAGGGGTAGTTATATAGAAGAAGAATAGAAGTGGGAGCTAAAAAGTCTTAAAAAGTCAGGCCTTTTGTGCAAACTACTGCATTTTATTTTAATGTAGCAATGTTGCTTTGGTCTGAGATCCTGGTATAGTCATAAATTGAGCAATAAGTCACCAATTACCTAAATAATATCAAACTAAACAACTAAATTTCTACATGGCAAGTGTATGTGCCTGGGTGGATTCTCTTCTCAAACTAATTAGTCTGAGTTTCTAAGAATAGAGCTGGCAAAAGTTACTTACATCTTATCTACCCATTGTGATAGATTCAATATGTGTATAGAGAAATATAAAATATTTTGTAGCAAAGGCTTCCCGAATCTTCACTCAGATCTCAGGAGTCCACTTGAATGGAATCAAACTTGTTCACAAGACCCTGTATGGTCAATATTGCAATATTACTAGATCACAACAGCTATCTGTTGTTCTCAATAGCTTGCAATCCTAAACAGAACTGTTTTGGAAGCACACCAACTTTTAAACAGAGAAGTGACATTCATTTGTCAGCATCACAAAGAAGAAGAGTACTCTTAAGTAGATTGCTTAATGGCACGGAGAGGTCAAGGAAGGCATGCAATGGTACCTGAAGAACCAGCAAAGGAGTGCATAATACAGAACTAATAACATTAATGGTTGATATTATCTCCCATTAACTTGGTTTATAGACCCAACATATTTAGATGTTATTAAATTTTCATAAAACCACATACTCAGTTATTCTGGATTCCATACTGCATTGAATTCTAACTGTAGCAGATAAACTCACTACATATCAGCTTCTCTGTGTTTAGGGAAGTCCTGTACTTTTCCTGCTTGTTTATCCCCTGCTTGTATGAATATTTGAATGGAGACTTAAATCCAGGAGATCTTTCTTTTTATCCCCATGCACTGAACAGAGGATATACAATGAGATCATTATTGTATTAAACAGAAAGCTGCTTGGTGCTTAAGTAGTTCATCACTGGTATTCTTCAAAGAACTGGTCTTAAGCATAAGAACTGGGATTAGGAATGAGGTAACTCCTGGTGTAAACACTAAATCATACTACTGAGAGAATCTATTGCAGGCTTCTTAGCACAGCTCTTGCAAAACAGTTCATTCTTGACCTCAGACGTTTCTTGGCTTTGGTTCTCAAGTTTAGAGCCTATCTTGAAGTGAGTTTGTCAAATGCACTAGTTTATACCTTCTAGAGTCATTAATATAGCTTCAAATTTCTATAAATACTCATAGCCATTTAAAGAAGCTGATTATAAACTCCTCAGGGACCCATAATGTAAAAATCACCCCATGTCAAATATTCTAGGAAATATATTTATTTGACCTTATGTGAGAGAGAGACAGCTATTTTTTTCACAGAATCCATACAGGTGGGGAACTACTTAGTAGATGCTTAAGATTAACAGTGTTGATCCAATGAAGGAATGGGTTCTATATTAAAAGGAAGGAAAAATGTAAGTTGTTTTACAGGAATCTGTTGACTTTTATAGGGTCATTCGAACAACTGGATACCTGCTGTTTATCTTACACCTTAATGCATGCCTCTATTATTGGGCTTCAGACTATGAAGGAATTGGCTCCACTAGATGGGTGTATGATGGCGAAGGAAACATGTAAGTCCTTTTCTCTTGCAAGAGATTTTTGTTCATTTTGGTCCTTCCTGCCTCCCACTCCTTTTCCTAAGCCTTTGCTTGCAGAGTATGCCTTTACTTTACAAGTGCTTGAATAGCAAACTTTTAGCATCATGACTGCTGATTAGCAGCTTTCATTACAAGCATATTGGGAGGGCAGGTGCAGTGAATAATCAGTTTACCACTTTCAGCTTTTATAGGTTTATGAGTCAGTGTAAAGCACCAACTTAATTAAACATTTAGAAAGTAACAAGGGTCATAAATTAAACTTACTGATTGCATATGCACATGGGAACCATTCAAAAGATTGTATGCCAATCCCTCGAAGGAAACAGAGGAATAGCTTAGTGAGTTTTTTGCTGCCACACAGCACTGTGCCACTAAAGTGCAAATATTTTAATCCCTCTACACCGTGGTGATTGGTCTGAAAAAATTCCACCAACTTTTTCTCATCTTTTGGGAAGATCATGCTTAAAAATGTGGCAGAGTGTTACCAGTGGGAAGGACTGGATATTGGCACACTTTTCCACATTCTCCTTATGAGAGCACTAGGTTGGGCACCAAGTAAGGAACATTTTTTAAGACGATTAAGAGAAACTAAGAGAAAAATAGCAAAGTCATAATATACTTTGTGTGTAGTTTTATAAAAGCATATCTCATAGGTTCAGCTCTATGAACATTTAGTTATTTAAAAGGACATCATACAGTTAAAGCCACGAAAGCTTAATTTGTTCATTACATTCTTTGCAAAACCGTATATAATATCTCACTGCTGTCATAAACCACCTTTTAAAGAACTTTTCACCTTTTTCTTGGAGATGTGCTCCTGTCTGCAGTTTTGTCAGACTTCACAACTTTGATGTGAAGTCACTATTTTGAAGGATAAGAAAATAGGCTTTGAAAGAAAACCACATTTTGTGTAAAGCAGCACTGATTTTTTTTTTATAATTAGGGTTATATCTCAAAAAAAATTACATGTCTGAAGTTTTCACACACCACTAACATATGCAACTTCAGTACTGCAGTCAGGCATTTGAAAGCAGGGTCATGGAGCTCAGTGGAACTACTTATGTAAACAAAGTTACAGACAGGTATTTATTTTCAGAATCAAGGCTTACAGAAATCTGACAAGAAACGTGCAAAACTAATTTCTACTATAGACATTTTTGTTAATGTCATTCTTGGGAATTTTTGCCTCATAATTAAAAATAAAGTAAGTAAGACCAAAAAACCTGAAAATTCTGAAAGTAGAGTTTATTCAGTCTTCAAGTTTTTTAATGCTTCTTCAAAAAATCTAGGGAACAGAAAAAATAATTGGCATTTCACTCAGAGGAACAATTGGTAGAAATTATTTATTAGTTTGATTACAGACAATGCATTTGTCTCCAGAGGCAATGGCCAGATTTTTTTAATATTTTGTGATATCTCTTCCATGAGGAGACAAAAACATTTCTCAAATGAAGTCACACTGAAATCACATGGAATTTAGGGTAGATTTATTTTACAAACAATAATAATAAACTGATAATTCAAGATCTGCATTAAACTGAGATGCTTAAATAAAATACATATTAGGATATGCATATATCCTAACACAAGAAAGCTGTAAACTTATTGGAGCAAGTCCAGAAGAGGGCTACTAAGGTAGCCACAAGGCTGGAGCACTTGTCTTATGAAGACAGGTTGGGAAATTTTTGACTGTTCAGCCTAGAGAAGAGAAGGCTCTGGGGAGACCTTACAGCAGCCTTCCAGTACCTAAAAGGGCCTACAAGAAAGCCATAGAGGGACTTTTTACAAGGGCATGGAGTGATAGGACAAGGGGGATGGCTTTAAACTGAAAGAGAGAAAGTTTAGATTAGATTAGATATTAGGAAGAAGTTCCTTACTTTTGACAGGGAAGCACTATGTGAACATCAGTTACAATTGGAGATGCATTCTGAATTTAAACCTATCAGATAAGATACTTTTGGTTTTCTAGGTATTCATTTGTTTGTAAAGCAGGATTTAAGAACAATATGAGGAAAATCTGTCAGGAAAAGTGACCAGTGCTGCAGCATATGTTATGGCACAACATAATTTCTTTTCACATAGTATTCAGGGTTGACAATTTTTGAAGAAAATAGTCTCACAAAGAATGGGAACACATTCAGAAAGAAGATTAGGCAAACATAGCTACCTAGCTAATTTTAAAAAATGACAGTAAGCAGTTTGACATATAAACAAAAATTCTAGTGGTTTCAGATTACACTGACCCAAAGCAAATGATCCGGTACTGATTTAGAGGCATTAATGTTTTATGAAGAATCCTTGCTGTGTCCATAAAATATTGCTAGTTGTGGCCAAAACCAGTTCTTAAAAATGTCAACATTTCTAGGGTACTTTTTTTTTCTTTTCCAGGCTAAAAAGAATAAACAGAAAACAGATTCCTTTATCAGTTTGATTACATATATATTACTGAGCAGGCATACTAACTGATGAATAAAATCCATAACTAACAGCTGTACACAACACTCAAACCATGAGAAAAATTACCAAAGCAACTCTTTTGCAAATCTCTGCTATCTCTATTCTTTTCCAGTCCTTGCCCAGATTCTAAAGTGTCAGTGTCAATCCAAAAAGACTTGAGTTTTTTGCAGGGCAGCCTTCAGTCAAAGCCTTTGACCTGACATGCAAAATGCAGTCTTTACTTTACTTTACTTCCCTACAACACACTCAAATTAGCCACACAAGCTGTTCCCAGCATTAAAAGTGCACTCATGAGCTTGATATAATTAGGCAGACAGACCTCACCCTTTCCTAATGCAGAAGTGCAGCATCACTAATGCAACACCATAGTGTAGAGTCTATGTAAGCACTGCAGCATGATATTGAAATGGCCTCTTAATTAAGTGGAGAATTTGAACTATACATGTTTATTTACAATCTAATTTAACTACCTAAGTAAGAGATCAGTCTCCCTAATTCCTGAGGAAAATGGACAAATCCTTTAGAAAAGGATTCAAGGCAGGAACATAACGCCATTGTTCCTAATTGTCCAAAGGAACATTATGTTTCCCTGTAGCTGCTCAGACTTAGTGGACATCTCTAAGTCCCAGAAAATAGTCACTGTACATGTCTAGAACAACTCAGCTTCTGTAGTATGCTTGTCCAATGAGCAGTGAGACTGGCAAATCTTAAAATGTGTCTCAGGGGTATCAGCTGTACATTGCTCTTGCAATAGGTCTGTTGTGTCACAATCACAGCACTTGCTATACAAAGGTAGTTTTGTGCTTCCAGACAAGCTGTGAATGCTCAGCCCAACTCATACATCACACCTAATGCTTTCAGACCTGCTATCTGCAGCCATACATTTTAGGTAAAAGCTTTCTAGTTTACTCCATTCTGCCTGAGATCATCATACCCACAGCTACCTGATGAACACAATGCTCTAGAAAAAGAGGTACCAAGGAGGTCATATGATTACCAAGGAGGTCATAAGATTACCAATTTATAAAAGCCATTTCTTTACTCTGCTTAAACCCATCCTGGTTGTAATGTGAGAGGATCAAATGTGATAGCCCTGAAATAATGCTTCCCTGGGCTGAAATGAGTATGTAAATACAAGCTTAAAAACTGAGAGCCACGTGCACAAAGACTTGATTTACCTGCATTAACCAAAACCATGTAAGAAGTTTAGTGTATTTTAAAATGGACTTTTATGAAAAAGATATTTCTATTGGCATAATATTATAAGGTAACTGATTTGCAGTGTTCCTGAATGTTTTCATACCTTGGACTTATTTTAGGGAAAAATCTCATAGTTTGGTTGCCTGAAGGATAAACATTCTCTCTCTGATGAGCAGAAGGAAAAGTCCCTTTCTTTTCTCATATTGCTTTAACAGTAAATTTATAGCAGGCCAGTAAGCTGTGATGGTTTCCAGACACAAGCCAGTAGGAAGCAGAGCTGCTAATACTGTTGAAATAGGAGTCTTAAACAAAATTTACAATCTCACTTCTCCCTTTCGTAGGGAAGAAAGAAAGCTGCTCTGTATTTCAACTGTGTAACTTTCATTTCAGAGTAAAATAAAACCAAAAATTCATAAATGGAGAAAACCTGTTTCTAAGAAATGTGACTTTGCCAGTAGAAAGTTTCTTTTAAAGTAAAACTACAGAATAATCTCGGGTATTAACTACATCTTCAGAAAGAACTAGGCAGATATCAAAAAAAATATCTCCCATTTTGTATATACAACACTGTAAAGACATATTCCTCTGAGGAGCTGCTTTCATTCTTTGTAGACATTCCCTGAACAAAGATTATATTGTCTATCATTGTGGAATCAGTAAGCTTGGCATGCAGGGCTGTTGTGGGTGATGGAGTTGGTTCATTACTACTGTCTCCTACAGTAACTAGAACAGAAGTAATGTTAGTTTCTTTACTTTTATATTACTAAATTATACCTGTTTCAAGCACTACAGCATTCTCAGTTAATATGCCTCATATGGTAATTCCTCTTAGCCAAACTAGAAACATCATTTTATACTTAAATCTGTTATTCTTCCAAAACAGATCTTAGTCTTTTTCTTACTATTTGTTTATGCTACAGGACTCTAGGATAAAGCTGCAACTTATGCATATTTTGCTGTAAAGTTGCATATTTGATTTTTTTTTTTTTTTTAACACAGGTGAAAATATTATAGTGGATGCAATGAAATTTTTTAATTTATGGGCTCTAAATCAAAATGGCCAGTTCTGGCTATTAGAATCTAAAACTAGAAAACTATAGTAAATATGATAATTGTTACTGCATTTCATTAATCTACAACCAAGAAAAAGATTTTTGTAATGAAAGGCAGAAATCAATCATGTGGTAAAGCAAATTTTAGGTAAAAAACTTGGAAAGAGTTTCAAGTGATTTAAACAAACCCCTCACTGGAATTGGTTGTGAGTTTATTTTCTCATATTTGCACAAAACAAGCTCTACATTGTAGTATCGCAGGAACCACTTATTAATAGTAGTGGACTTCATATCTTAACAAGGGAGGAGTTTAAAAGTAGAGAGAACTAAATAAACTCTACACCTGTCGTCTGCAAGCAGATCAGGTGGCCTCAGATTCAGTAGAGGCAGAAAAGATGCATGCTGGAATTTCTATTTTCAAAACAAACATCTCCAAAAGTATTTATTCTGTGCTTTTTGTTTGGGAGGTTTCTGTTTGTTTTTTTTATTATTATTTCAAACTCAATAAAATTCAGCAAATAGAAGGAATCATTATTGCTTCAAAAGCAATAGTCATAGCTGCAATAATAGAAAATCTCACTCTACAATTAAGGAAAATGAACTTCCACTCCTAATCATCAGTGAAGCTGAAGTCTGATTGTACAGAAATGTCAGATTCTAATTAATAGGAGGCTTTTAAAGGAATACCTAAACCAAGTACTTGTTTGCTCAGAAAAAAAGCAAATGACAGCATACTTCTGACAATGATTTGCATTACTTGTGGTGCCATTTTCTAGAATGAAATTTAACCCAGAATTTTAGAGGTACCAAGGCACTTTTCCAAAACATTCTGCTCATGTCCTTTGTTGCTTTCACGAACTTGTGTTATCATACTAGAAATATATATATTGTAATAGAAATATATGACTTGAAGGCAATAGGCTCTGTCGTGAGGGCTGTGTACAAAGAGGACCATATAAATAGAACAAAAAAATTTGTCCTCACAGTTCACACTTCAGGTAGGAAAAGTAACCGATTGTAGATGGATACTATGAAGGAGTCAATATAAACCATTCATTGAAGCAGAGTCTTAGTGACTAACCACTGCTTACTGCCCTATTTATTTGCATTTTAGATCAAGAGAATTCTGAGAAAAGTCTTAAAGTGGTTTTGTAGCTACTGATGGACTGCTCTCCCCTGGCAGCAGGGAAAGTAGTGGAGAAGGCAGGAAAGTGTTTTTCAAGGTGACAGAAGGAGTAGTGAAGACCAGCACCTAGGAGACATTATACAGGAATCAACCTTCCAGTGCTGAATAAGTGAAGTGGTTTGGAGAAGCTGGATAAGCACACAGCTTGTGGAAACATGTAACTTCTGGTTGACATAACCCAGGAAGTAGAGCCAATAAAGGATGCTCAGAAGCAGAGTGGGAGGAAGACCAACGTGGTTAAAGGGGTAGGAATGGACACAAGAACATCACATTTGTCATTCCCACAAATTCACACTGGTGTCATCAAGTGAAAGCCATGAAAGAGACCTTCAGATGTCTGAGCATCGAGTATACTGCTACAGAGAGACTCTGGGAAGTCTCTAACATTTTGACATTGCTTTTAACATCATGACATCTTCATTGGTAGCATCCTATCACTGTAATGTCCATCTTGGCGATTTTTTACAGGAGTCATCTGTAACACTACATAGAGTTACTAGAAAACAGCAAGTACTGCATTTCCCATACACTCTTATTTTGTTGTCAGTGAGAACATTCAGCTCAACCCGATTTATGTAACTGTTGCATTTGTAAATTCATAACCCCTTATAAAAATGCTGAAAGTCTTTTGGACTGAAAAGCGTCAGTGAAAGGCCCAGCTCAGGCAGGTATATGTTTAACTTCACCCATGTAAGCACCTACTTTCTCTAACAAAAGTGCTGTTTGTACCCACAGGTATCTGAGGTGTTACTACTGGGCAGTTCGCAGCCTAATCACCATCGGTGGCCTTGCAGAACCACAAACGCTGTTTGAGATAATCTTTCAACTGCTGAATTATTTCATGGGTGTCTTTGTCTTCTCCAGTTTAATTGGTCAGGTACATTAAAAAAAATAAAATAAAATCAATAACAAGTTACATTCAAATTACGGCAATGTAGTGATAGTATATTTAATTTAATGGAGTTTAGTTCTGGGAAAAAGTTTAGCTTCCATCCTCTATTTTACTGTCATCCCTAGTCTTATTCTTCTGACAAATAGATGTATTTAATCAGTTACTGGTTTTGTAGCTATTTTACACAAAAGCTGATTTAAAGCCAAAACTCTGTAGGACACAGATGATTCTTGAAACTATTTATAATTCATTTTTTTTACTTACTGACAGCCAAGGAGACAGTTCCTTGACATTCATGTTATACTGTTAAATCTGACATAAAAATTATAACTGTTGAATAAGTGACGTTCAGTACTACTACCAATAGAATACTGTTAATGGAAATCCCATGATTTTTGCCAAACTAGAATTCTGATCACTTCCACAAATTACAATATATTTGTCAATCTGAAAATTAACTAACTGGTTTCTCTTTCTCTTAGTTCTCGTTTGGCAGGAGGGGAAAAAAAGGACCATAGCATAACAAATCACTTATACTTCCAAATATTTCCAGCTTTAAATCCGCAGGTTTTAAAATACCTTCCCTATGGAAAAATAAATGCTGTGGTTCCTATGTGAGACTTATGTGTCTTACAGTTTCTGTAGAAATCATTCCAAACTTTTTGATTTGTATATGCCTGTTATTGAAAGAATTATCAAAAAACCCCAAAACCTCTAAAATTTAATTTTTATTTTTAATACAGCATTTGAAAAATTCAGTCAAATAGTTAAAAATTGCATACAGTCTCTTGCTCTTCAGAAGTGTAAGAAGAGGTAACTGTTACAAAAGAGACTCTTGCCTATAGGATTTTAAATTCATCCACAAACAAGAATTAGCAAAAATAAAAGAAAGTATTCATATAAAATATTTCTTCTGGAAAACAAGTATACAGAATTAAACTTCAGAGTTTCCATATTTATAATTGTTTCCTAAATTTTTGTAATTGCCAATGAAAGCCTCATTCCATAAGAAGATTCTGCAGATTACGTTTTGTAACAAGTTTATAAATTTGTAGACTCTAAACCTTAACACACAAATTGCTTCATTGCAGTTTTTTGTTACAGTTCCTGTTTACAAAGAGCTCTTAAAATAACTGAGTTATTCCCAGTTTAGCACACTTGCCTAAATATTGTTATTCCCACTGCAATCAAATGCATCCTTGTAATAAGGAGCAAAATTCAGCCCGTGGTTGAATCCTTGACAGTAATCCTTGGCAGCTGCCAGATGAAGCCATTCCACTAAAAACATATTTAAATACTTAAGCTTTTGAAGAAGAATATCTGTGAACACTAAATCATCCACTTTCTAAAAACTGAATTACATTTGTGTTGAAATGTTAAATGATGTTCCTGCACTAAAAACTTTTAGGTCAGCTTTCAGCTCACAGTACTTAGGATTGATCTCTTAATTATTTAAACAGTGGCACTATCTCAGTTCTGATGGTGTCAGGTGACATTACTAGAGAAATTCAGCCCAGTTTGTTTCACTTCTGACTTGCATTGCATGCCAAATGCAGAGTAGCTTTACTATGGATTTTTTAAAAAAGCATTATCTACAATTTTCATCCATGTCCAGAAATATGAGACAGACGAATAAGCTAAATCCCAGAAATGATTCCTCTAAAACCATAATTACACTTTCCAACACAATCAGATTAAATCTGTAATGTTTCTGAAAGAGTGGATGAAGCACCTGTTCAAAACATGCAGCTGAATGTATAATTATTCAGTGATTTTGCAAACAAGTGTTTCATTATTTTTATATGTTGTTGGCAAGGTATTAAAATCATGACTATTTTTGCTGAAATGTGTAGTGACAACAATTGATGTTTGCAGATGAGAGATGTAATTGGAGCAGCAACGGCAGGACAGAACTACTTTCGCTCCTGTGTGGACAATACTGTCTCCTATATGAATACTTATTCTATTCCAAGATTGGTCCAAAATCGTGTTCGAACTTGGTATGAATACACATGGGACTCTCAGGGAATGCTGGGTAAGGATTTACAATTCCAGTTACCTAGCATGTCCAAGTGAAAGTGGTTGTATAGATACAGATATAGGGTGAAATTCACATTTCTCCTTTTCTGAATTGCATTTGGGAAGTGAGAGGAAGCTGCTCAACTTACTTTGGAAAAGAAACTACAAAGCAATAGGACACTTACTACTTCACAAATTCAATTAATTAATATAATGTTCTGGTAATAATTTTAGACAAGATATATTAAATATCCTAGTAAAAACCTATTAGCAGCTTCCCCACTTGAACTCGTAAATAGCTCCATTAAGTTATTTTTCTGTACAAAGCTCATTTTTATGGACATTCTTCCATTCTTCCTTTTTTTTTTTTTTTCAGATGAATCAGAATTACTGGAGCAGATGCCAACAAAAATGCAGTTAGCCATTGCAATTGATGTGAACTTTGCCATTGTCAATAAAGTGGACTTATTCAAAGCAAGTACTTTTACAGAAGAATGCAGAAATGTGTTGTATTCCTGAGACAGAAACCTTGTTCTGTGCATCTTGCAATATTTAAGAACATGTTTGTAAATATGCAAGGCAAAATAAGTCTAAGAAATGTCTCAATTAATGGAGAACAAAGCTAAGTGTCTGCATTTGAATGTGGGTTTTTCGTCAAGGCAGTGATTTTTTAAAAAAACCAAACGAGATTAAGACATAGTCCTGTTATGACAACATACTAAAGCTGATGGTATGGTCAGACTGTGAGTTAATTAATCTGAAGGGTCAGACATAGAATAATCTAATTTTTAGCACAGTTCACCTTGCTGTGTGCTGCCCAGGTCAGCCTGAAAGATCTCCCATGCTATGTGTTCTGGCAACATAACTTTAATGTAGTGAATGCTGCATTTTAGTAAGTTTTTGTGCAAAGAAGTTTTCTCTTTATTTATCATAGTAGTTTTCCAGAGCTAAAATTTAAATGTGTACTTAAAACTGGCTTTCTGAGACAAAACTAAGAAGACCCTGAATTTTTAGCAGTAGTCTTGACATACAAGAAATTTGCTTGTTAGGATATTTTTAAGAAATCACATGAAATATCTGTATAAACATTACATGGCTGTATGGTTTTTCCACATTTCCTGAAGACATGGAATTCACAGATTCATACCAACATTTGATATGATCTGGTTTTTATCTCTGAATCAGTAAAAACAAACAAAAAAGTTCCCATGAAATTCCCATAACAGAGCAAAAAAGCTCTAATCATAACACTAACTGAGCTTCCACAGCAAATTTGGGTGTACAGAAGCTCAATTTGTAAAAAATGGAAAGATGTTCCACCCATAAAGAACTTTATAAGTATTTGAAATAACAACTCTTTCAGTCTTTTTCAGCTCTAATAGCTGATCTTTATGATGATTTGAGTTTGTATTCCACTTAAGAATCTCTCGGTCATTCCTGTATTGTTGGGGTTTGAGGCCATTGTAAGCATTAATAGTCACTTTTGTTACTGAATTAACAGAGCAATCAACTCTAACTATTTTAATAGGGCTGTGATACCCAGATGATATATGACATGCTGCTAAGGTTGAAATCCATTGTGTATCTACCTGGTGACTTTGTCTGCAAAAAGGTGAGCATTTTTGTCTTGTTGAAATAATAATTATATTACGTATTTTAGAAAAAGAGTCCATATATTGGTAAACAATGTCCTTTAAATAAAATTAATCCTGACTGAATTAAGACAGCATAAAAGTAATTAAGATGCTCTAGGTAATAACAAATGTGTTCTCAAATTTTACACACATAGTAGGGAATAAAACCCTGTTGGAACCACCTCCCACTTGGATGTATGTTGTATCTCATCCTAGTCTACCAAGGAGATGCTGCATGCAGGCTTGGAGGACCAAGTGAAGAGACAGGAAGTGCAAGTCCCTACATTTCCATTTGTGGCTACATTGCTACAGCTTTTTGACTTTTAAAATGAAAGTGCTGCTTTGCCTCGCAGTATTGGTAAACCTGGAATTTGTCATATTATTCTAACAACAAAAACCACTGCTGAAACATGGGTTCTTTATGTGTTTGTGTGCCCAGGGAGAGATTGGCAGAGAGATGTACATCATCAAACAGGGTGAAGTTCAAGTCCTTGGAGGTCCTGATGGTACAAAAGTACTGGTTACACTAAAAGCAGGAGCTGTATTTGGGGAGATCAGGTACGTTCATCACTATTCTTAATACTTTCTTTGGAACTGGTCAAATAATCAATGGTTGTTTAAATTCTCTGTGGTAAGCATGACAGCTACCATGGAGAGACTCAAAAGTGAGTAGTATCAACAAAGAGGACACTGAACAAGGAGATGCAGATAAGTGAAGGAAAATCTAAGCAACACATCAGCAATAAATACGGCAAGATCTGAGACCAATGTTTTGGTCAATGCACACAGGTATATACAGACAAATTTCTTCTTTGGTATTTTAAAGATTCGACACATCTCCCTGTTACACTGTCTGCCATATACCAGGACCAAATACATTTTATTGCCTGTATAGTGAGCCTAGGTGCCCTTAAATGGCAGATAGCAAAGATGAAAATTAATTTCCAACAAAATCGATAAACTAAAATAGCAAATAAAAATAAATCATTTAGAGCTGAAGTAGGGATTAAATTGACGGGAATCAGGTATCTTAATTTGAAAAAGTGTTTATTTAGGAGCATATAAAACAAGAAAAAAGCTGATAGACCATATTTTTTTCATCTGAGTTTATCTGGAGGATACAATTTTTTTCTGGTGGCTACAAATGGTTTTTATATTCTCCATGTACTTGCTATGCAAAATCCATTAACTCTTATGTGCTATGTTCCCCAATGAACCAATCAAGTGCTAGTTTTTAGGCAGTACAGCACTCCCCTGCTGAGGTTGGCCTGAGGAAAACTAATAAAATACATGTGCTGCCGCATGTGATAAACTGGATCCTTGGTTTCTTCCAGCTGCTTTCCAGTTACTGTTAATCCTCTTGCTGGTAGGTTTAATCCGCCTTTTGAAAAGGGGTAATCAGCTCTGTGTCAGGTTTACATTTGTCTTTTACTTGTGTCTCTGGTTGTAGTAGGGGAAACATTCCTGTTTATCCAGTGATGTGCATACAGAACTTGTATAGACCTCAAGTGGAAAACATCTGATATATCCAGTAGATACAGAACTTTTTCATTGAGTGGGAAAGTGAAATTATATCAGCTCTTTGAAAGAAGGTTATTTGGAGGTTATTATTTCTCTGTGGGACAATATACTACCTAAGCAAAGCCTCCAAAGAAAAGGCTGTATTGTAAATTACGTGAAAAGGCTGAGAATGAAATCATCACTAAGGGCTGAATAATGAAAAGATAAAAGAAAAAAATTAAAGCAGCCCCAATATGTAACAGACACATGATTTTCAATTATTTATTAGTCTGGTATTTGGAGTGACAACTTTAAACTGAAAAATTATAATGATTTGTTTTAAAACAAGGAAGGGATTTTAACACTTTTGATCCAATATAGGTGAGTGCTTATTTCCATGTGAAAACCACACAGACAACTTTTAAAGATTCCTTTCCAATACGTGTTACTCTTTACATAATTGCCAATATGTCCAGGAAAACGCTCAGCAATGCTATAATGCTACACTTCCAGTCTTGTTTTATTCATCACTGACCTACTGCAGCAGTAAACCCATTCAGACACATATGATTTGCATATAAAATGTCAAGTAGTGGATAAACTTGAGGAGAAAAGCCGCAATAACTGGCAGACATGAAGCACTAACTATCGTGAATATGCTCTTCCTTGTGGCAAAGCACTAGAAAATAATGAGTTTGTATTGCGTCCTTCTGTGTAAGTTTTGTCAAGGTCTTCTGAATACAGAATACCAGAAGAAAATGGAAAAAAATATTTTTTAATGGATGAAAAACTTACTTAGGACATACAAGTTTTCCCCTCACTTTATAGCGTTGTTATAGCCTGGTATCAGGCTGATTTCCTTCTGATTTCCAATTCAAAATTTGTTTAGAGAAATACATCACGTTCTTTCTGAGTGGTTTAAGTATATGATTGATGAAACACTTGCTATTTAATCTCACTCTGTTCAAAATGCATGTAAATGATTCTTAAAAAGTCTCCAGTGGTAAAGGAATTGCAGAAAATAAAATCCGTGTATTTCAAAAAAATGCCCTGAATTATACTAGATAGCCAATGGAAGACTAGTAATCAAACATGTCTTTTGCCAATTTTGGCCTAAAAATTATTACAGAAAGAGATTAAGTAATAGGAGTTCCAATTAACATCCTACCCTCATTACTGCTTCCCTGCATAGATACCAGTTTGGGGAAGTAAAATAATTTCAGAATCAGAAGCAAACAGATTGTTGCCTTAATGAGAGCCTGTCAGCACACACAATTCAGAAAGAGAGAAATTCAGTTATAACAACCCTTCATTAGCCCAGTGAAAGTTACACTTTAAGCCAGATGTCCTCATTCATCCATTTACTGCTATTTTACTAGAGCTATTTCCTATCAGAAAATGGTAATTCTGGAAAGACTAAAACGTTTCTTCATCTTATGTAAATTTTTGACAGGAAGATCTCTAAATGTCTGATCTCAGCTTTAGCTTTCAGCTGGTTTGTAATTCTGAACTTTATTTAAAAAATCAAAACTACTGGGAATATTTAGTTCTGTAAAAGATTGCATTTTCCATCTCTTTGGTCCAGGATTTCCCTCGAAGTGGTAGCTGCTGCTTTTCAATGGGTCTGCCCTTTGGAGCTTGAAATTCTGCTCAGAAGCAAGATCCAAACCTATTCCTCTTTCCTGACTTACCAGTTCTCTTCTCAGGCACAGAGGTGCCAGGTTGAGCCACCACAACCCTGCACATTCAGCTGATAACACGTGCCATCTCCTGACCAGTTTGCTAATTTCAATGGGCACCAGCTTCCTACAGAGATCAGCTATATATATATATATACTAAGAAAATAGAAGAGTCATCACTTTGACAACTTTATAGCTTGAAATTTAATTTGCTAGCACAGGAATTCAAAAGTTATCAACTCCTACTAATATTACCGCATTTCAGGCTAACAACTGAAGTAAAAAATGTTAGGTAAATAAAGCAAATTTCACAGTTTATGTAGATATTACATTACCAAGAACCATTGCAAGGCAAATGTATCTATTTAAAAATATTTGGCCATTTATACACTAACCAAAACAGATTCAGTGCTGACATACATAACACTGTCCTTAGTCAAAGACGATTCTGTTTGAGCAGAGACTGCCTTACTTGTAAAATTCACCTCACATCATCACCATAATGAAAAAGCTGATCTCCTTAGTCCTGTCTACCTTGATAAAATAAGCTTTTTGTTAGGAAAGCCTTAAAATGATTGTTCAATGACTTGTTGAGAAGTGATTCATCAGAGCTCAAAAGCTGTTTGCAATTTTCTTTAGTTGCTTTTTGTATTGTGCAAAGAGTTTTATTCTATCTGAGGAATTGTACAGAATTGTTTAAAGAGAAGACATTAAACTGTATTTTCAGCTTGAGTTCGTATATTGATTGCTGTCTTGGCTTGAAGAAAAATACTCTTTGTGTGCATGTAAAAACAGCCTTGCACACACAGTTGCAGAGGTCTCCTACTGTCCTTTATAAATTAAATATATTATCTGTATGATGCAATATTTAGAAATATGTTCTAGAAATATATTTAATATTAAAACAAATACTTATATAACTTTGATTAATATTTTAGATAGGTATCAATTCTTGTTTTATGGGGCTCAGATAATTTTTTATTAATAATTTTAAATTGAGATAATACTAGGTTCTCTAAAAATATTATTTCACTGGGAAATCTTTAAGGGAAGAATTTTAGAGTAGATTATGAGTATAGTGATAGTGCAATTTTAGTACTAAGAACAGAATGCAAATTCTCTTGCTTATCACCACAGCTGAGAGGTGAAGTCTCTTCATTTGTTTAACACAAGATGAATAATTTCATTTTTATTTGGACATATACTTTCTTCTTTTATATATCCTTCCTATGACCAACTGCTGCTGGCTAAACTGGTCTAATGCCTTACTTTCAAAACAAAATAGCCCTCTTTTTCTGGCAGACACATTTATAACTGTCAGTCTGAAAGACCTTCCTAATCTGTATCATTCAACTCACCAACACTCAAACATGAGATATGTTATGCGAGAAAACTGAAAACCAGAGTCTGGCAGAAATTACTGGCAGAAATACTCAAGAAAAATTAAATTCTTGCAGAATCATTTACTCACTGTAAATAAAGCTGGCTTACTTCTGATGTAAATAGTTTTCAACAATAAAATTGAAGAAATGTCAAGTTCCCATGAGGACTAAAACAAGTGCAGTCCTTGCTGTGAGTGTCTTTTAACAGAAATGTCTCTGTGTAGCAAAACCTTTTACAGTCCTTAGCATCTACCTGACTGGCAGTGACAATTTGCCTTCCTGAGACAAGAACACATTTCTAATCCAAACTGTACAGGGCCTTTACAGAACATCAGATTGAACAGCCAGGTTCATAAGTCAGCTTTACAATGACTTTAACGGAGAACCACCATAAAGATCTTCCTCACTAGGGCAAGTAACAATGTGACTGATGATGTTTATTTTCATTCCAGCCTACTTGCTGCAGGTGGAGGAAATCGAAGGACTGCCAATGTGGTGGCTCACGGTTTTGCCAACCTTTTCATTCTGGACAAGAAAACACTAAATGACATCTTGAGGCACTACCCTGACTCAGAAAAGCTTCTCATGAAGAAAGCAAAGTATGTCCTAACAACATTTTTTAAGTCATATCATTTAGCTTACACAGAATGGACAGTTGTGACTTCTAGACAAATTCCTTTCTTGGAAGCGTAACAGATGTAAACACATTTGTATTTAGAGCTAAGATTTGCCTGGTATTTTACAGTGGAAAGCAGGGTCTTGGCAGGAATCCCAAGGGTTGTGGAAGCATGGTAAGTAGAATGAAATCCTCAATGTAGTTGCCTTCTGCATTATATTTAAGGTAACAAAACAAATGGGAGATAAGGATACATACCAGGACTCCTTACATAGTCAAGAAAGAAACTGCAGAAGAGAAGTCAGTTAAGAAGTAGGTTTTCAAAGAAGCAACCAAACACTTACAATTAATTCTACAGAGATATGCTTCAATGTCCCCCCAGAATTGTATGCATTTTCAAAACCCTATGTAGCAGTTAGGAATGGATTTAAAGTAAGGCCCGACAAGACGGGGGTACAAAGATTAGAGAGCTGTGTATTATGTTCAAAAGCATAAGATTATGACAAAATTAATAGCTTGCTACCTTGTTAAAGGTCCAAAAACTCAAAACAGTTTGTCATTATTAGTATACTTCAGCACTCCTATTATTCTCAACTGTTGCCTTTGAATTGCTATCAAAGGTTGGAAGGTTGGTCCCAAACTTGAAATTTCACCAAAGACTAAACATAGCACAGGAGTGATATATTGTTTCATGGAAGTGCTAGCAGATGGCTGTATTCAATATGTTGCAACAGCCCTGGTTGTCAAACAACAGTATCTTGAGAATCACCACGCCCCTGAGGAACAAGGATTCCAGACACAGTATGGGCTTATTGCTCAATTTTCAAAACCTGCATCAAAAGGTAGAAAAGTGGAACAAATCCACTGCTCAATGGTCCCCAGAATTTCTTTCCTGACTTTCCTCTAGCTTCTACTTAAACAGTAGTACAACCATCATTACTTGTTATTTCTGTCTCTCTGCCCCACATTACCTCTTCTGCCTTCTTGCTCACCCTGATCATATTTTGCCAATCCATTAAATTCTGCTTCCACCAGATAGTCTTTCTCAACTGTGGTGCTTAATCATCCAACTTTTGTACCTGCACTCCCATTTGAGCTCACAGCCCTCTCTAGATATCAGACTAAATACATTATAACCTGTTTAATTTTAAAGATATGCAATACCTGCCCTTTGCTGGAGGACACGTATTTTGCCTGCCTGCCTAGGCATCCACTAATTCTGCCAAAACTAGGCAACAAGAGAAAATTTGTGCACTGTTTTGATAAGGATTGCAGTTATGTTCAGTTTTGGAAAGAAGTTGCCAGTTGCTCTGCCCTGGTAGGTTTACATTAGAGTTCTCTGTGGCCATCTGACAACTTTAAAGGCTCCTTGAAATAAACTCAAAAGATTTATTCAAGCAAGAAATTTGTTCTGTCACCACCTGCCCGATCCCCACATCTTTACATAACAAAGCCATGCAAGTTGCTGAAGTGTAGTTTTTTAATTAATGATAATAAAGCTGAAAAAAAAAATTGTAAAAGCTACACTTCTGAAATTTCTAAAGCACAAGATGCTGGAGAAAATTAGAGTATTATGGGATTTACTGTACTACAGACTGCAAGTATAGTCCTTGTTCATAAAAAGCCTTAAGCTTTGCAAGGATAGAAAAGTTGCCTTGAAAAACTGTACATTAATCTAATAGACACTGAAAGCAGGGGAACCCTCTGCTTTTCACTGGTTTCATCTATCTCAGATCTGTCATCTAATCTTTACCCTCAACATTCATTCTCACTTCTTGTCATTATGGCTGCAAACCAGCACAGCTACAGAATGGTGTGAAAAATCTAGTCTGCCATATGATTGGCTGTAATGTTTATATCTTCAGGGTGTCTTCTTCTACTGAAGAAGACTAAAAATAAGTACCACTGTCTAACCTGACCTATGAAAAATGAGCCATGCTGGAATTTACTTTGGTAAACTATTACTTCCACAAGTCTCAGCTGGTATCCCAGTGGAGCATTAAATGCTCTATGAATTTGCATCTAGAAGTCCAGGCAAGAGATTGACACCTCAGGTATGGGGCACCCATCTGCCTCCACATCTCTTCTCTCCCTACAAAATTCTCATCTGCTTTGTGACATGTTAATTTGAGCCAGCAGCTGTTTATTCTCCAGGATACCAGTAAGCAACTCCAAATTTGAACAGTTGCCTCCAATTCTACCAGAGCCTGGGGCAAAACCCTTACCATTTCAAGTTTTGCTCTTATCACTGGACCTGTGAAACAAGGAAAGTTTGGCTGTAAAAGCTGCCAGATTTTTGTGCATGAATGTGGTATTTCAGTTTAGCAGGAACTTTGCTCATTTTCACAGCACTGCTTTGTGTCCTCATTCCCTTCCATCTCCAGGGTGCTGCTGAAGCAGAAGGGGAAACCTCCTCCAGGACCACCAGTGCCTCAACCACGAGGCTTGGCTGGTCTCTTTGGGCAGAAACAGGAAACTCCAAAATTGTTTAAAGCAATGCTTGGAGTAAAAGGAAAAGATGGCCTTGCTAAGCTGCTGCAGCTGAAGAGACAACAAGAAGTTGAGGTAAAGCCACAGAAAATAGACTAGAATCTTCCAGGTGCTGAAAGATTCTTTGAGGGCTTGGGCAAACAGAGTAGATGAAAATGTAGCCTTACTGCCATTAACAGCAAAAACTCTCAGTAGCTGAGATATAACCACTCTCCTAATCTCTGTAAACACTGATTCTAAAATTTGGCTCAAATCTTCATGAACCTAGACTCTATGCAGAGCAGAGAAAAAAAAAGCAAGCTAACAAAAATTCTCAAAGAAAGTAAGGATAAAATAGGCTTTACAAAGGCCCCGAGGGCATCTGATCTTCTAGTTTAATGTAAACAACAGTAAATACAGAAATATCTTAACACAGTAATCTGATCCAGCTGACTCGGGCACATGGTGAACTTTCCAATTCAGTGTCAGATCTCTGGTTGTTACAAATCCTGAAGACAAAATGTAAAGTGTAGCCCACACAGACAAAACTGATTAAATCACTAATATATTGCACTTACGAGAAAACTGTTATTTTAACTGATAAAAAATAATTCCAACATTATACTCTATTCTGAGAAATGTTAATGTTGATAAGAACCTGCTCAGTTCTACATATTTACCCAAAGTTGACAGAATCCTTTTCTTTATAGCTGAACTGGTTGAGGTTTTATTTAGGTTAAATAAAGAACTTTGCTTACACAAATGATTACAACACTATGATTAGAGCAGAAACATTGCTCAATTTAGTATTACTTGTGAACTTAATTGCAAATAGGCCTGGCTAAGGAATTGGGGCTGTGGGCAGCATGCCAAGATTTATGTAACACTTTTTCTTTCTCCACTAGTGTAAGTGCATAAAGTAAGGCAAGACCTGAGGAAGGATTCTGTGCCCCAAAACAGGCCTGTTTCATCCTGCTATATTAGTAAGAAGCAGATACTATCATTATCCACAAGTTTTTGCTAGGTTTTACACTGATATTCTAATTCTGAAATTACATTTCTCATTTAGAAACTGATTCTCAAGCATCTAAATAGAAATTTACATATGTTGCATACCGTTAATCACAGTTGCCATGCTGTGCCCTTCCATAGCATATACAGAATAGAACTACTTCCAGAATTTCTTCTGCAGTATTGGAAAACATTAAACTTCTTGTTTCTAGGAAGCTGAAACGGAGACTAAGCCTAAAGAAGAGGAGAAGATGCCTGAGAAGCCTGCTGCCTCCTCTGCACCCCCTGCTCCAAAGAAAGAGCCAAAGGCAGATGCTAAGCCTGCAGTTATGCAGAGACGAGCCAGTAAGGAGTCTCTGATCATTAGTATGTCACCGTCCTCCAGAGCAGGAGAAGGAGAGATCCTTAAAGTTGAAATTAAAGAGACACAAAAGAAATAGATGATGCTTTGGGTTGTGGCCCCCTCTATTGTCTTGCTGAATTCAAGCTTCTGAATTCAGGGCTGGTGTGACTTTGCTTTTGGATACAGAAGATAAAAGTAGAGACTACCCATGAGAAAAATCTACTCCAGCTCCTCTTCTTCTTTCCCTCCTCTCCTGGCACAATGGAACATATTATTTACATTCTTAACCTTGATTCTGAAGAGAGAAAGGGTGTCCTAGGAATTAGAGCTTAGATTGTATTTCAGGACCACTTGTTTCTTGTTTGATCTGTGCTCTCCTTTTTCTCTTCCTCTCTCTTGTTTTTGCTTTTTCTCTTCCCTCTCTTGTTTATCCTTGCATTCTGGCTGAGCTACATCACACCTGTGAGCTACACCTGAGTGCCACAGCTGAAAGGGATACAGCCTCCTGACAAGGAGCTCCCACACTGTCAGCCTTCTGCATCAACTCATCACAGTGCCAGATGCAGTATGAAACAAAAGGCTGAAGCTATGTTTAATTCTCAGTTACTTTTTTCTCTTCCCTGGGTTCGCATCTCCTCTCTTTCCCTATTTGCTTTCAGACCTCATTGGATGAACAGTTTTGTGAACTAAAAACATTATGCAGAGGCTGAGCCAAGACATTGTAAGGGCAGGCTTCACGGCTCCTCAGCTGACCAGCCAACCAAGGAATGCACCATGCCAAAATTAGGCATTCACTTTGCAGGCTATATATGACCCTGCAGGCTACACATTCGGTACATCTGTACTTTAGAGCCTTTCAACTTCTCTAATCAAAGAAAACACTAGCAGCTCAACCAGAATCAGCTGGAAATTTGCCTGAGTAAAAGCTGGATGACTGAATTCTGTATGTTACATATTCCACAAATGCAGTTTTTGACATGTACATGACAAAAAAGTATATGACAAAAACACAATTCCCTTTCAAAAAGAAAGTTCTGCTGCATTAGCAGTGAGGCAAAGGGTCCACTGCTACGTGGGAAGAACCATCTTTATTTGTATGTTACTTGTTATTTAATAAATAAAAGGATATCACAACAGAGGGAGAAAATTTTATGTTACATCATAAAGAATTACCCATCTATTGCACATCCAGGAATGACTCAATGAAATCTCAAAATCAGAAATACTGCAGAACTGTTTCACAAATGAGGGTCCTCTATGAACAGTAACAATCTATGAATTGATTACAATATAGTTTCACATCTTTTTTTTTTTTGAGATTTCTCAAAACATTATGAAAAGGGAAAAAACCAGAACTCCCCATATTTTAACACTTTTATATTAATGAATAAAGCTTGCTCTCATTGCAAAATAACTGATTGATTCCCTTCTGCCTACAAAATGCTACCAGGTAACTTCAAACGTTCTCTCTGTGGGTGTATTTAAGTTCGTCAATCACACATTGACCCACATTACAAAGTAAGGGCTGAGGCTGTAGCAGTGAGGGCTACACTGCAGTGACAGAGCATCCCACGAATTGCTGCTTTGCAGGAAAGCCTGACAGTTCTGTCTGTATGATTACCAAGTTACACAGCTCTAGTGTTCCTTAGACCCAAACTCAGTACAGAAGGTTTGGGCCACACAGAAGTACCATCAACCTGGTTTTCTCTGACATCCTACTTTTCTGGGTTTGGAGTATTTTCCCCTTCCCAAAATTCCTCCATTTTTAGGGGGTGGGCAGGGGCAAGAAGGTTCCATGAATCCAAGTTGCAACTGTTTGTAGTTTTTCGCCAGAAGGAATGACACAAGAAAGGTCAAGCTGTAAGCTGTAATAAATCCTTTCACAAACTAATTCTACCTAGTAGATTCTTGACTGGTGGAGAAGCCAAGTGAATTACTCTAGTGCACTTAGAAGACACAATTCCCAGTTATCAGAACTGACTCAGGCTCTGTATGGCATCGAATTCCACTGCAACGCTATGTCTCCAATATCTCTGTTTCCCAATAAAGTACCTCAGACTTGACTACACCTGAATGTAAAGAAACTGAAGGACAGAATAGGATAATGTATTTGAAAAGTACAAATAACCAAATTTCCATGCCTCTCCAATTAAAAGGTAGACGCTGTTCTGAAAAACTTTTCGGAAAACCTGATAATAATTGTATGAAATGGCATGCATGGGAGAACTGTAACGTGCCACAGAGCAGGAAACAGTGACAGCTAAAACTGTCCAGTTTCAGAATATCTTCTTGCTAAAAGCCAGTATAAGATGCTTTATAAAACAAAACATACACTACAGAGTCATAAACACTAAATGAAAAGGCATTTTTCCTCTTATCTGATGATAGTTGTTATGAATCTGTGGCTCAGGAACCACAGGAACCACAAAAGCAGTGTTTAGCATTACACAGAAAATGCTGAAAACAAAAGCACAACAGAACAGTATATTGAAATTATCATTTTAATGCATAGGTATTGCAAATCAATTAACTTCATCAGAACTGAAATACGTAGAAAAGTAAAAAATTCTGGTTAGCTCTCTGCTGTACATATTTATAATACAACCAATAAATGGCAAAAAGCATCCAACGACAAAGACTGCCATACATCACTTTTATCACAAGGTGGTGCCAGTGACCTACAAGCACATTCACTTTACAAAACTGACAGTATTTTGCTTTGTCATTCGTAAGCTATTAACTCGGTTTTACACGTAAAAATACATAAAAAATAATAATAAAAAAAGAAAAAGCAAAACAACAGAATAACTAGCTTTCCCCTTGACTCACAATCTGCTTCATTTCTTGATTCAGAATATTGTTTCAGTCTACCTTGGAAATTTTCAACAGGCATTAGCTGCATATCTCTAAGAGATGTTATACCTGGAAAATGGTTCTTGCCACGGTCAGGTCTGAAATACATATTTTACACAGAATAGGGCACATTAAGAACTAAGTGTCATCGATATGCTATTTAATTCCCTAAGCTTGAAGATCATGGGATCAATTCTCTAATAAATGATAATGAATTCTCTACTGTAGAAACTCAGAATTTATATATAAAATACAGAAAAAACAAAAGGTTTTCTTTTGCATGAAGCAGATACTTAGTATAATAATACCTACTAACACATTTAAATGCACTTCCATGGCAACTTTAAACAGAATTGACAACAGAACTCAGATGCAGCATTATATTTTTAGCAAACAGCTCAGAGAAACTTCAGTAGTATCCTGTACTCCTATCAATAGTACCCATCCACTTCAATTAATCTAGACAAAGCATTAACACTGCATCCAGTTATCTCTGTATGGAGCAGGTAGTTGCGAAACAGTTTACTGTTCCAAAATCATGCACTCTCAATTTGCAGTAGTGTGATTTAGGTCTATTATAACAACTTCCCTTATCTTAGTATTTTGTGTTGCATATTTGATATGGCACTTCATTATAATTTATATATAAAATAGTAACAGATTTGTACTACACTGATAAAAAAGATGATTAGAGATTTTTTACATAAATACGTGAATTACATTTTTCAAAAAAGAGCTTGTCTTAATGTGAAGCACAATTTCTTCCTTAGTATTCCGCTACTGAAAGTATTTAGGACCACCTTCCGCCACGGAAAATAGAGTGGAGATAACATACCCATTCATGATTGATTGATAACTGTCATTTATCTTATATAAGACAATCTCAATACACATATCTTTCATCCATCAATGTTTATGTGAATTCAGATTTCTGACAGGATTATATGAGTAAAAAAAAAAAAAACAAAAAAAAACCCCAAAAAAAACCCAACAAACCACCAACAAAACCCACACAAAGCAGCTCCAGCAACTAAAAGTCACATACACTACGACCTGTTAAGTCACATACACAGTGACCTGGTGCAACCTTGAGTGTCCAAGCGTGCTAAATTTAGTATTAGTCCATTCTGTTCTTACATGAAATCAGTTTGATGTCTAACTCTAAACCACTTCAAATGGGAATAATGTTCAAGATTGACATTTCAAAGTGATAAATGTGACCTTTACATCCACTTACATTACAGGCAGTGACAGGATCAGAAGGGATCCTCAGCAAGCAGTGTGCAACTGGGGGACAAGAAAGCTTCCACTAAGCAAACAACATGATTTACACTCGGTATAATTGATGAAACCTCAAGCCAACAAAATAAGCCAGAAATTGTTTGCCCTAGAGAAATGCAGTATGATTATAGGATTAGGGCTTAGAGACTTGACTTTCTTATGTCTTTCCTAAAGGGAGGGAAGAGGGAATATTGCCTTTTTTGTAGGCACTTTTCATTAGTAGGCTCATGAAAAAGCAGCATGACTCAAAATATAACAAAAACCAGACATAGGTAGCACTTTGAAGAACTGCCTTTGCCTGAAAATATACAGTCATAAATCAGACAAGAAATTTTTTAACCAAAAAGTGGATTCCTATTTCACAAAAAGGCCTTTGAAGACCAATAGTCATTGTTTTACGGAGGGAAAAAAACAGAAAGAAAACCCCTACCAAAACAATATTCAGAGTTTTCATTTTCCAGTACACTGCACATTAAAACACATCATACAGCCCTTACAGTACTATCCTCTGATGTCAATGGTATTCTTCTGAGATGTTTGAGGTTTATCTTCATTCACCCTAGTTATTCCCTTACTACTGTAAGTGAAGGCATATTAAAAAAGAATATACACTTTAACGACTTCTTTGGTTCATGTTCACACAGCCCTGAATCCCAGGCATTGGCCAAAGGCACTGAAGTGGCAATCGTGAAGCAAGTGCGCAAGGAAGGCCTTAACGCTCTGAGGCACTTGTCTGATTATGACAACATTTTGTTATGGTGGCTAATAGACAAAGAAGCCTGAAATATTCCAGATTCGTTCATGCACATGCTTTGGTAGGGATATACCCTCTTTTCCATTTCAGACTGGTTTTATGATCAGTGAGAAACTGCAGTCTTCAGTGCTGATCTGCACAAAAGTCACTGAACATTCCCACTGACCATATTTATCAAACAGGCAGCTCTTCCACTTTCAGCCATTCTCCCTATTCTTTCCGCATATTCAACCTCTTTTTTCTACTTTCACTTTTCAAAATAAAATGCATCCATGTAAGCACTACCTCTCAAATCAACAGCAAATATTAACATCATTACATTTTTGGCCCTTAAAAGGCACACTTGGCAAAGTTATTTCTAGCTA